TACTTTGAGAGGGTTTTTTAAAATCTGAAATAGCATACTCATATTGATCACTCATCTAATTCATCAGAATTGGCTCCAGATGACTTTTGTTTATTTTCAGTAATTAGGTTTGCCCCAAAATGTCCTCAGGGCTACCATTGGAAATGTTTTTAAAATATGTTCCATATTCTAAAAGCAATACAACAAAAAACAAATGAAAAAACAAAACAAAATAAAAAGGAACAAAAGAGAGTATGATGTTGGCATATTCATCAGTTTTACCATAGCAACAAATAGCTCCAAAGATTCAGTGGCTTATAGCAAAGATTTATTTTTCACTCACGTAGCACATAGACTGCAGACTTTTGGTAGTTTTATTTGGCTCCACTGGATTTTTCATAGCAATGTTCAGCTCTGCTCAACATTGTTCTTTCATTCCAGGATTGAAGGACTAGCTCTCAACTGGGACATGACTTTCTCCCAGCAGAAAGCAGAAATGCCAGAGGTCAGACCAAACTACAGTAACCCAGTTAAGGCTTCTGCATATACAAGAGTACACATTTCACCCAGACATGGCCTACCAGCCAAGAAAGTCACCTGGTCAACTCTGACAAAGGTGGAGAAGTAGCCTCTGCCTACAGGGAGGCCGGGAAAGTCACAGGGCAAAGTGTGGGTGTGTATAATCTTCCCTAGAAGAAAACAGTAACAATAAGCCAATCTACTTCCTAGTCTGAACACAGTGGATACCTCTTAAGGATGAAAGTATAACTACTCTTGAGGTAGTAATAAATATTACTTATAAGCATTATAGTGTGCAGATAAAATTGTTAGTTACATACTTCCAGGCCCCTCTTATTTATTTAAGTGTTTTGCCAATGTATGCAATTTCTAGAGTGTGGATTTCATTATCTCCTATATGTATTTCCTTTTAACAGTGTTATATTAAACGTTGTTGCAAAGTGGTTTATTGATAAATATGTATTGTGAAATAACTATTGATTAGATATTTCATTTCTGTGGATTTGACCCACACAATGCTCCTGACATATGAAATTCAACCGAATTCTAGTTCTGTAATTCATAAAAAGCAAATTGATATTCTAAGAATGAACTAGTCATAGGAAGCGAAGCAGTTACCTTTGTGAGGACTACATAGTGTATCAAGTTCCTAGAGTTTATAAAAATGTTAAATAAATCTTTTAACCTCTGAGAAGGAAAATAGAGTTGTAAATACTAAAGAAATGTATGCTTTTTACTTCTTCATCACTGTATAGAAATCTAGAAGTTAACAATTCAATTTCAGCTTTTATATGTCCCAGAACTATAAATACACATGAAAAAGCCAGCTTAGTAACCAACTGTGCTCACACTACTGTCTACTGAGACACACCTTGCCACACATGAAGTAGCCCCCAAAGAGGAGGGGACAGGAAGAAGAAGTTCTGGAGTGACAGGAAATCACTTTCTTCTCTCTATGACTCAGTTTTCTTCTTCCCATGGGTGTTGTTATCCCTCTTCACACACAAAAAATACACAAAGAGGTAAAAACTTAAGGCTGTCCCTTAGATCAGCCCTATCGTGCTGCTGAACCAAAATGAAAACCTATCACGAGGGAAGCTGAAAAGCAAGGAGGACCAGGAGGGTGTGATTACTGCGCTCTGTCCTGCTGGTAGGCTGATGAAATGAGAACAAGACGTGTGTTTCCTGTGGCTCTAGCAAGTCACACACTATGTGGCCAGTAGCAGCTATGTGTATTGAAGAGTGGGAGAAAAACTCTAAGGCAAATCTCCATTTTGTGCTAGCTGGGATTCGTAATATTCTAAGTCTCTCCATGTCTACCAGGATGCCCTTAATTTAGGCAAATATTTTTAGGACATCTTATAATAAATGCGCTGCCACCTGAGTAATGGGTTCTTTCCTTATTGCTTTCTGCATCTCATACTTAACAGTTAAAAGCTCTAATCAGCTAGATGTTATGCCATTATCCTCACTTTAATATTGCCACTACATATAGTGTATAAGGTGTGAAGAACATAATATCGAGTTAAGTCATCCCAGGATCTCACAGATATTAGGATAAACAGGTCTCTGGCCTTTGGGATTTACATCACAGTTCAAACAAACATGGCCATCTTGCCTGATTCTTAAAATTCTGATTCTTTGGCATTGAGCCTTACTTGATACTTCTTCAGGATTTTACCTTAATTTTAAACATAAATAAAACAAAGAAACAATTTGAGCATAAATACTTTCTTTCTGTAAGGGAAATGATCAGCTGTTTTCTATAGTCTTAAAAACAAAGGCAGTTGGTAAAAATTACAGCACAAGTGTTTATACTTCCCAAGGTGAAGGTCATTCACACAGACTGAGTAACCCTCCTCTCAAAACTATATGACCCAACTTTCTCTGCAGTGGTCTAAAATTAAAGGATAGGTTCATTTCTCTCTCCAGTTAAGCTGTTCCTAAAGACAGAGGGAGACACTCACAGATCTCTCCACCACTCCATGTTTTCAATTCTCCAATGTGTAAAAGCAAACTCTTTACAAGTTGGGTAAAGAGCCATAGAACTTGAATCAGTTCTCACCAGGAGAGTAAGCCGCCTTGGCAGGAATGCAAGGTTTGAATAAAGCATATTGTACAAGAAAAAATCACAACAGATTACACTGACTTTTCTTTGCTTTTACATTTCTTAGAACATGGTCACATATTATCTCTGCAAGTCCCTGCTTGGTTTTATTTTGAGCAAGCAATCAAATTGAGTTTTTCCTCCTTGATTCAGCTGCTCCTGAGAGACCTAAACACATTTCTAGGAGTATCATGAATACAAGTTATAGAATTCAGACTATTTCTACAACCCACCTCCAAAATACATCTTTAATTATTTTGGGAAAAGCTAATGACTTCACCCATGCAGAATAACTTTCTTTTATCATTATGTAGCAGTTGGTGGTTGCAAATTTGTAATTATGTACTATACCAGGTTGAAAATATTAAAAAAACCTCACTATTCAAAATATATGAAAAAGCTACAATTTATTGATATAGAATATATACTCTCCCCATCAACTCTGTCTCTCACTTAAGCCCAAGCAGACTATAAAGCAGTTTACTACCAAAGTACTTGAAATACTTAAAGAGAGAAATCTTGATGTATACAAGTTCATGCTTGCATTTTCAACTTTCCAATTCACACTCACACAACACTCATTTTCTTAGATCCTCCAAACAATGACATGATTTATTTATTAAGTGTCTGACACTTCAAATGTCTCACCATAAGGCTGGATAGTAAAACTGTTCATTGTCTACATTACATTAAAACAACCAGATATAAATGGATTACATTTTTCCCCATCAATAGATCTTTGGTCCCTTGAATTTTTTTCTTAAATGTTTTCCAGAAGTAAAGAACAACTATTATTCCACCCAAAGTTTGTATTCCCTTTGGGAAAGTAAAGGAAGTGCTAGAAGATAAGCTGACTTCATAATAATGACAAGATAAAACCCCATATTAAAAAACGTAGACTCGGCCCTCCTTGGTGGCTCAGCGGGGTAAAGCACTACACTGAGAAGCTAAGGCCACTTCCGCATGAGTTCGATTCCCGCCTGCCCCGAAGGTGACCACATGGCGTGGCAGACCTCTCCTGACCCGCCCGCTGCTCCCCTTAGCAGTGTACTTCCTCTATCTGCCTGTTCTGTTCCCCACTCTGTCTCTCTGGTGAAGCCTGTCACTGCCCCTGAGCCTCTGGCCTGTACCCCAGTTCTGTATGCACAAATAAATAAATCTTTAAAAAAAAAAAAAGTAGACTCATTTTTCTTTTAATTTAAATATATAGGCCCAGAGGACAGAATAAATAAAAATACTTGTTAGAGAGTCTGTAACATCATGAATTTTGGAAGGGGATGTAAAATGAACAATGCAGAGTAAAACTCAACTAACATATTTTAGTTGGCATTTAATCTTTTTCAGTATTCCATTCTCATAATAATTTTCTTCTAGTTCCTTCAATGCTAATAACTTTTCAGAGAAGACTAGAGATTAGTTAAGATGGGAAGAATCAATCAAACAGCAGTAAAATTCAAGGAAATTACTCCATATTTTATTCTCTTTCAGTGTTTCAGGGCATAATAGAAAGTAAAGTTTTAGCATATTGGAATTAGTTTCAAGGTGATTGGAACTGTCACATAAAGACAGAATCAAGTATAAGTCATTATTCTATTACCTAGTAATCTATTCTTATTTTTTTTTTGTATGTTTATTCCTCAATGTTAGTGACAAGCAGACTCAGGCAGTGCCAGAAGCTGATTTGAAGAGGCAAGAAAACAGACATGAACTATTATTTTTGACTTACTAGTGCACACATTTTACTAAGTCCTTTCAAATGCATTATTAACTCATTCTTGGTTCCATACAAATCTAGAGAGTTAGAGTTATTATTTTATTTTACAGATAAGTAAAATATCAGCCTAGCTAAGTTATTGGTCTAAATTAACTTGTATGTTGTTGAGCAGGATTTGAACAAAAAATGATGGTTTTGTTTTTCCAATATCTTCCTACAGGTAAAGTTTGGTAACAGAAGAAAGCAATATATAGACATAGGTCACTCTGGAAATATTCTTTTGGAAAATAAGGGTTGATGGTTGAGTCATGATATAGTGTAGTCACTTATAAATACTAGTTGTAAAGCCTTTGCCCTTATTCTATAAAATCAAAAATATGTTCTTTATAAGTATTTATTATAGCATTAAGAAGCCTGAAATTTGAAAAATGTGCCTTGTGAACTGAAATGAGAAAAGGCAGGTTTCTTATTGATTCTTCATTCTTGGAATCTCATTATCTATAAGAATGAACTTGATGACTTCCAACAAGTAAACAACCCTTCCTCCCAAGCCTCATCCAGACTGTCAAGCTGCCTGAAGCCACCAAATACAGATTAGTCAGAAATGCACTTATTGTTCCTACTAGAAGTAGTTTTAAAAATCAGCTTCACATACAAGGATTCTTTTTCTCCTTCCTTCAGGCTGCTAAAGGATGCACAGAATGAAACTTATTTTAAAAGCTGGTATCAGAAGCTGTTGGCCGCTCTCCAATTCTGTGCAGGAAAAGCCTTAAGCGATGAATTTTCCAAGGAGAAGAAACTTATCAAAATTCTGGGAGACATTGGGGAAAAAGTCAAGTCATCCATTGACCCTCAAAGACAGGTTTGTTGAGAGATCCATCTTTCTGTAGTGAAGTTGTTTTTTCCAAATCTTCAATTAAGTTTGAAACTTTTTCAATATGAAAGCAAATTTCTTCACTACATTTAGCTATGAAATGTATGAAAATTATATTTTATCAATTATTTATTTTCAATTTACTATTCTAAAACTAATCATTAAAGTCTATCATCAGGATGTAAAACTCAGGCTTAGGAGAGAAGCAGGAAGGGCAATTTAGGGGTACCTTTGTTCAAGTACAACATCATAGTCTAGATTTTTCTAACACTGCACTCGCCAAACCTACATATTTTTGCCAAGCAAAATGAATGAAATGAAACAAATCAATAGTGGAATGAAAAGTATCATTTTTACTAAGATTTGGAAGATAGTCAAAATATTGTGCCTCTTTCATCACTGGCTATAGTAATGGGCCTGCTAATTCTTCATCTAATGAAAGAATATTTGCTCCACTTAAATATCTGCATTATTAGTTCCTTTTTCACTGATATATACCATTAATAAAATCTCTGAGATTCAATATTGTAGATGTTGTAGATTGTAGATGCAGTAAAAGAGTGGATATCGCTTCATTGTATGTAAGGACATCTGAATAGCAATTGAGTATGTCCTACAGACTTGGAGTGAAGGCTAAAAAGAAGGATAAAACATAAATGTTTTTAAAATATTTACGTAAGTGTCATGGAGTTCATACTTTTCCTCTATCCACTATCTAAAATTAGTGAAATTTTTCAATAAAATATTAGGAAAATAGTAACAGGAATTGTCCCTGAAATCTTTCCCAGCCCAATATTTTTCTTGCCAGAGTCACTTTATTTAATGAAGTGCCAGAAATTACTCTACTTCACGTGCATAAGGAAAAATAGAAAATGAAAAGTTTCAGCATAGTATTTATTTTTAAGTGGGAACATACAGACTTTTGATACAAGGAAGACACTTAAGGCATGTAACATGATGAGCAATATAAATAACTATTATCTCTCCACATTACTGTAAATGTATTATTTTCTAGTGTTAGACAAAAAAATTGTCTAGTGTTAGACAATTTATTTTCTATTGTAAAATAAACTGTTTTCAATTTATAAAATGTATGTATAGATTTGGTTTTTTAGATCATGTCTTAAAACCCCTGACATACTTAAGTTTATTACAGGTTAATAATTTTGTCATCTTTTGAGGCTTTGCACCAAGTTGCAATGCACGATTGGATTCATTCTCTCCAAAGCCAGTCATTGACTGACTGCTTTTGTTAGTAATTTCTTCAAATGAAAAGATAAAAAGAAAAAGAGTGAGAAAACTTTATAATTTATGTTTCAAGTAACATAATTTGTTACTTGTAGACATATTTTTCTACCTTTTTAAAAAGCACTAATTACGTCTACCTCTGTGCAATGAAGTGCTTTTAGGTAGACAAAGAAAGATGAGATTCCACTCCTTGATATTTCTCAGGTAAATCTAGGTATAGATAAGGGAAAGGAGGACAGACAGAAACAATGCTTTAGTTGAACTAGAGAACAATTCCACCTTGTTCTAAATTCTGGGAGAAGCAGATTCTATTATTTGTCAATGAGCCAGAAGTAAGCTCTTGAGAGTTAAGTAAGCATTATTAATCTGATGTTCTTATTTTTAAAATTGGGCTTAAAGAATTTCAAAAGTAGGCTAAAGGAGTTTTTAATAAATTATTACTGCGTCTCCTTTCCTTTTGTCAGAGAAGGTGGTGTCTTGTGGTGTCACACTGAACCATGTACAAAGGATTGTGGAAGGGACTGAATCAAGTATCAGAAATATACTGAACAAATTTATTTGTTCTTAGAAATTATTGTTTCTGACCATATTGTCAGCAGTTATCATTTTTATCACTGTTACTCCTTAAATGAATGTTTTTCTAAAATACACCACTCCTATTAAGTGTACATCTTGAAGGTTACAGACTAGAAATTTCAGCAAATTGTCAGAAATGGCCCACACTGATGATTACTTAAATCTGCAATTACAAATTGGTGGGCCACAGATCGGGTCAAACCCACTGTGTTTTGTCTGAAAAGTGCAGTGCTTTGTTCAAGTTTAGTTTTTAATTGAATTTAAAGTCCCTGAGAAAGGGCATGCCCTCGTGAGTTCCCTATTTTCCCGAGACTCCCTCTTGTCTTTAGCCTGCTACCTCCTCATACGTCCCTACATAACCTGCCTGAACCCAAAGCATCCACGTGTGCAACCCTTGCGTTAAAGGTTACTTAATCAATAGAAGAAAATTATAACTTGAAGGAAAAGTCAAGTTCTTTTCAGTTTCTTAAATGATTTTCTAATGATTTTTCACAGGCGGTACTGAAGAAAGAGATCGGTAGACTAGAAGAATTTTTCCAGTATATTAATACCTGCCACCTTCCTCTGAACCCTGCCTTCTGCATAAAGGGGATTGATCGTGATGTAAGTTATTCAGGAGATGAGCTGAATATTTTTGTTTAGTATTGCTTAGAGTTCACTGTATATTTTTGAAATGGGGGCAGTTTATAAATTTCCTTTACAATTTCTTTTTTTTTTTTTTTTAAAAGTGACTTAAGGGGCCTCCCTGTTGGAACGGGGTTAAAGACACACAGTACTATCAAGCTATCGCCAAATATTGAACGCGAGTTCAATCCCCCTCCAGGGCGCTAAAAACATGGTGAGCAGACCTCTCCTGTCTCTCCTGCTGCTCCCCTCGGCAGTCTATTTCAGTACATCTGCCTGTTCTGCTCCCCATTCTGTCGTTGGCGAATCCTCTCACCCCTACACCCCTGTACCCAGTTCTTGTATGTATAAATAATATTTATGCAAAAAAAATTTTAAGGACTTACTTCCATTGAAACTGTTCCATTTGATATACTGTGGCCAGTTAGTATCACATTTGCTCATTTAGAAACAAATTATCCATGGATTTGGAGAAAAGATTCTTCTCACAGAATTGATTTCTCAATTTATTTGAAACAGGTTAATTTGCTGACCCCACACAGACGGGGCTTAATTTCATGCTTAGATTTAGATTATGTGCATACCATGCTTCATGCAGTTGTGTATCATTAGCTTCTGCACCTCAAATTTGATTCAATTTGAAATTTACTGATGCACGTGTGCCATCTAACACATTTTGTGATATTTTACCTGGAAAGTCCTTCTTAGCATTGTCATGTTCACTCTCTGTCTTCCTACACAACTGTCAGACAACCTTCTCTGGCTTGGAATCATTCTTTCTACTCTGTTCTCCGTGAATTTTATTATCTTCTCCCACAAATTTCCAAGAGAAGGCACTAACAAAGAAAGGGATTGTCAAGTGAAATTTAGAAGAGGCTAAATTCACCCATAATAAATATCGTGTAACCGAAGTTATAAAAGATCAAGACATCAAATCCACTAACTGCAAAAAAAATAGACAATTTTAGTCTACATATGTAAACTGTTGCTAGGCCCTCTCTGGTGGCGCAACGGGTTGGGGCACAGCAATGCAAGATGTCTGCAGCCGCTTCAGTGCCAGTTGGATCCGCAGATCCGGAGGTGACCCACATGGCCCAGCAGACCTCTCCTGTCTGCCCGCTGCTCCCCTCAGCAGTGTATTTCAGTACACCCACCCGTTCTGCTCCCCACTCTGTCTCTGGTGAATCCTCTCACTGCCCCTGCACCTCTGGCCTGCACCCCTGTTCTGTATGCATAAATAAATAAATATTTTTTAAAAAAAAGTTTTGTTAAAACTTTGATACCAGCAACTTTGCAACTTGGCTGCTATAAAGATTTCCTATAAATTTTCCTAATTTGCTGTGAAATTTGTTGTTTAAAGAATAGAATTATATATATATATATATATATTTCATTTCATTTAAAATTATATCTGAGTTTTGGCTTGTGTAAGTCTTAGGGCTATGGTACAACTTGGCTTTAATATGTGGTATTGTGGAGCCTAAGAGAGATGAGTGAACCAGGGGTTAACCACCTAGGAATCATAATACCTAGCAGGCTGACTGAGATACACTCCTTTCCTACAGTGACCTAAAGCCTGTGGTGCTCTCCCTAAGTCTCAGAAGTGGTCCAAGGAGAACCACCTCTTTGCGCCATTTGTTCGGGCAGCTATGACCAGGCGGAGTGGGCACCCTGGCCACCTATGGGTATAGCAGTGAACAAGGCAGACATAAGGAGGTGACAACTGAAGATTAGATAATTGTGGCAAAGTTCCAATTGGAACCTATATGTGGTTGGCCATCAAAAGGTACATACTGGAAATAACTATGAGTGTAACTAGTATAGTAAGATCTTCAGACAGAGCTCTTAGCCAATGACTTGTCTGAGAATCATCTGAGGTGAAAAAACTTATAAAGCACCCAGTATGGGAAATCCTGTTACCATTATTCCCGATGAATTATAGTTCATAGAAACCTTTTGAATAAATGTGATGAATGTGTAAAAGCCTTCATTCAGTTCTCTACTCCTGCCCATCAGCTTGCCCATACTGAGAAGGCTTATGCAGGTAATGAGCACATTAGGCCATTCTTTAGAGTAAAATCCTTGTCCAGCACCAAGTAGTTCACACAGGTGATAAAATATACAGTTCAAATGAGTGAGGGAATGCTCTCTGTCCTAATAGAAATCCATCTGAAAATCTGCACTGAGAAGAAGCCTTGTGAATCTAATGAGCTTATAAAGCCTTCAGTAAGAGGAGAGTCTCATTTGACATTTGACATCTCTGACTCCAGTCTGGGGGAAAAAGCACTTGGGCAGTGTGGAAAAAGCTTCAATTAGAACTCTCAACTTATTGGCTAAGAGTAAATTTATACTAAAGAAAGATCTTTTGAATTAAGTGAGGCAAGGCATTCAAACTGTGAAAGTGTCCTATTCTCTGTCACAGATTTCACACAGACAAAAAGCCTTTTAATGTGGAAATATTTAATCAGGACTCACATTTCATTGTACATCAGACAGTCACAATAGTGAGAAATCCTATGAATGTAACTAACAGGCATGGGAGGGCCCTCAGTTATAATGCCAGTCTTATGGTACATCAGAGAGCCCATTCTGGGGAGAAATAGTATAACTGCAATAATTGGGGGGAAGCCATTAAGTGGCAGTTAACAGATTATAGGGCATCAGCGTATTTACACAAATGTAGTGAGTGTGAACTACATGGAGAAGCACTCAGCCGTGGGCAGCTGGCGGGTCTTAGGTTTGAGTTAAGCACTCTTTATAGGAAGAATTCTCTATAACTCAAGAATTTGGATTTAGTAATCATAATATGGACTTCCTTTTTGGTCACTAAGGACTGGATCAGATTGAAGATTGGGACTAACTTAATGCAATCCTTCTCTACTATTGGAAAGTAAGGACCAAATATTTTCTTTCCCTTTAAAAAGAAAAAAAAATTAAATCTGTTCATTAGTGTGTGCTTCTCAAGAATAGGTGCCATATCTTCCTTTTACTATTCCTGCTTTCCTGTCTCACCATGCTCATAGAATCTTCCTCGAAGATTCTGATTGATCCTTTCTGGTCCTTGCTTATGATCCTCCCATTACACCTTTATCTTCTATTCTAGTAGAGCTGATTTTGCTTGCCTCTCCCCACATGTAAATGACAAAAACTTTTCTTGTACATGCTTACTAGTGCTAAGTCTCTCAAAATCTTCAAATCCAGCTGATCTCTGAGAGAATTTCTTCTTCAAATGTTTTTCTTAACTGTGACAAATTGCCCTCTAAATTATTTTCAAAGCATATGTATTTGCAATCAAACTAACACTTTGTTGACTCTTCAAGGGTGGATATGGTATTTCTTTCTGTTGGTATGTGGATAATGGTTTATATAGACTAATAGAATGTGTAATATTTTTCAGCTGACTATCAAAAATATATTATCTGCAAAAACCAAAATGTGAAACAATGAAAACAAAGTATCTCTAAGCAATATGGTTACCAAGAGGATAAGCTTTTGCCTTTAGCTTCCCTTGGCCCTCATCTCTTTCCTTGACATGGGCTGTCTCAAGGAGATGCCCAGAATTAAATGAGGAGAGTCTGAAAACCACTGCTATGGACTCATTCCTGATTTACTACAGGATTTCCTAACTCAATACCAAGACAGAAAATCATGTTTCCTGGCTGACACGTATAGCAAGAATGTGATACTTATTAAGCAGCCTCACCCATTTACTGTTAAACTCAAGTTGATCCAGTAAGCATGGGCTTCTTTTTGCTTAGGATTAGATTACATTTATATCAATGGGTTAAATTAAGAAACATATCCTTTTATCTCAGCTTCTACCTATTTCAGATTTCTCAGAAATAATGGTATTCAAACTGATCTTTCAATATATATTGATGTCATACTTTACTAAGTTGACAAAATGAAAGTATAATTTTCTCCTTTTTTAGTGTTGTCTTATCTTTCACTGTCTACATGCATTCTTTAAATACATGCCTAAAGGCATGCAACCATTTAACATCACAATAATTATACGGACATAAAAGTGAAATAACAATATAATAGAAAGTAGTCAATAATATAAAGATGAAAATGCAAAATGTAATTGAAATAAATTTGAGAAAAATAAATGTTGCACTGTATTTGTAAATATAGCAAATACTCATTAACAAAAAGAGGAAAAGAACATACTAACTTTCCAAAGTACCTGATTAGTTCAGACACAGTAAAAGATATTTTATACACATTAAACTCATATATTCATATATTTGTTACCTCATATGTCTATTGCAAAAATATGGAGTTTATTATACCTATTTTATTGTGGCATAGGCAGGTGAAGGAATTTGTCAAAACTCTTAGAGATAATAAATTACAGAATTGAAATATGAACTCATGTCTTTTAAAATTCTATATACATATTTCTTTAAAGTATGCTAGTCAGCAGAAATAATGAAAATAATTTTTTAAATAAAAATTTTATTTTTTACTTTTTTAAAAGGTTTTATTTATTTTTGCATAAAACTGTGGTGCAGGCCAGATGTGCAGGTAGTGAGAGGGTTCACTGAGACAGAGTGGGGAGCAGAACAGATGGATGTACTGAAATACACTGCTGAGGGAAGCAGCAGGTAGGACAGGAGATGTCTGTTGCCCCCTCTATGGGTTACTTCCTGGCAGGGATTGACTCAGGCCCCCAAGGTGGGCCTTCATGGTGGTAGTGCTGAAAAGTAACCCTGAGGCCCCCAGGGAAGCTCAATAATTTTGTTTTTATATTCTAACCAACTAGAATAAACACAATACCTACAACACACTGCTTAGTTTATTTAAACTTTAATTTCACTATGTACTGTTCAGTAAGGGGGGAGGGGGGAAAGAGAAGTTAAAGATTTACAACCTGCCAGAAAGCTGGGTTTACAACTAAATTAAAAGCTTTGGTTGAGAGACTGAAGTTTTTCTTAATGAATATGTTTCTTTGTTTCAAAGTATAAAATGTATTCATATGTGCTATATTTCTCATATAACATTCTGCCAGGCACTGTGATTTCAGGGAAATTGTTCAGTTTGTTTTTTTCTGCTCCCTCTGTTCCTCTTCTCTCCCTATAGGCATGTTCATATTTTACATCCAATGCTCTACCGTTGAAGATTACTTTCATCAATGCAAATCCAATGGGCAAAAACATCAGTGTTATTTTTAAGGTATGGTAGCTCTCTTAAAACACCAGCATGAGTCCATAAGTAGAGCTATTGATTTATTACACTTGAGAAGAAAATATTATAGCTATTTTCCTCTGGCAACACAAAGAATTCCAATTATTTGAGATTCTGCATTTTTACCAAATTATAAAACATGCCAAACTATCATTGGCAATAAATCAAATATGGTTCCCTGAAAGCCAATGAACTCTCAGTACAAAACTTAAGAAAATATGTCTTAATAAATGAAATCATATAATCATTAATGAGTACACAAAAAGTAGATGGTGGTAAGTCTCCAGGGTAAGGGTTTTCTTTTGACCTAGATACTAAATTAGAATCAAAAGTAGCTAACACTTAAGTTACATACATTCTGTTAACATAAAATTCTCATATGCAAGAACTTTCCTGCTTTAATAATTTAGGTTGTTCTTGTCTTCAGAAAAAAAAAAAATTCCTGTGGGCCATTTCAGTCTCTATCATGAAAATAGAAAGATAATGATTAGCACCTCTTACTTTTCCTCTGAGCTGTAAAACCTGAAGTGTTATGTGTATTCTGTCACTACATTTTTGGTGAAGCAAATAAAAAAATATAAATTCTCATCCTGGCATAATTTTTTACATATAAATTAGAAAGCACTTTGAAAACCAAACTACTGGTAAGTTGAAAACATAGAACTGTTTCCCCCATTTGGACAAATTGCATCTTCTTCACCAAGGCTGGAAAACCACCCTTTTCTTATTTCTTATTACTTAACTATGGAAAGCTTTTAACTGCTTTCATAAGAGAAGTTAATGATTCAGAGTTCTACGAATTATGTGTGTGGTCTTAAATGCCTATGAAGAAGATCCTGGTAGTCTAACTATGTATCAGGGCATACATTTATGTATCAGGGCACAAAATTTACAAAGCATACCAAACATTATTTCACTTAGGGGTAGATCTCTTTTGGCTGATTTGGAAATCTTTATAAACATTTATTTGTTCAGCCTCTCTTCTCTAGACTTTGAGTCTAGACAATTCATATGGATGATAAATTGCAAGAGTCTTATCAGAGAACAAGATTAGAAGCAACTTCTGACTTAATGGCCAAAACTCTGTAATTATTTAAAGACCAATTCTCATTTTCTTTGGTCATCTATCAGAAACACAAGGTACTTTTGTGCTTATACAACATTTGAGATTATCCTTAGTCATGCTAGAAATTCATTCACTAAAAGAAATGACATGTACCATATTTGAAGCTTTTAATGGATTCAATAAAAACCCAGAAAGTTTAATTTTGTTTTAAACAGGCCGGTGATGATCTTCGTCAGGATATGCTTGTTCTACAGATTGTTCAAGTGATGGACAATATTTGGCTACAAGAGGGCCTCGACATGCAAATGATCACTTATAGGTGTCTATCCACAGGAAAAGACCAAGGTCAGTATAGAGCAAAGAGTGTGTTCCCTTACATTTCTTATCTTGCACATGTACTGGTCATAGATCTTAGTTTAAATTACAAATTAGGAAATACATAGCACTATATATAGTCATTTTTAAAAAATATATATTTTCAAAAAGATAAGACAAAATAATTTCTGCAGTATGAAGTATCCTTTTCTTTTTAATTCTAAATATTTGTTGTGGTATTGTTTTAAGATTATTTATGCATACAGAACTGGGGTACAGGCCAGGGGCAAGGGCTGTGAGAGAATTTACCAGATACAGAGTGGGGAGCAGAAAAGGCAGATCTGAAGTACACTGCTGGGAAGAGCAGTGGGCGGGTCAGGAGAAGTATGCCATGCCATGTATATCACCTCCAGGGCCCCAGGATCAAACTAGCACTGAAGTGGCCATGGCTAGCTTTACAGTGCTGTGCTATAATCCACTGCGCCAGGTGGGTCTGAAATATCCTTTTAAGATATTAATTAGAATTCAAATTCCAAGTGCAAACTTTGATGCGCTTCTGTGTATCTGTTTGGTTTTGCTTTTAATGTGCAATTATATTAAAATTATTCTTTCTCTTTTTGTAAGATAGTAATAGAAAATCTACTCATTCAAAAATATATAGTTGTTGCCTAATAACACAAAATTTACAAAGTCTAAGCCTGCATTTACTTTCCGAAAGATTTTTTAATAAAGTGTAATATCACAGCAAAAATGATCTCTTAGCCCATATTCAGGACTTATATGTCTTTGTGAAAGTCAAGACATTAATGTGGAAAAATAATTACAGTTTTACACATTTCCAATGACAACAAAGTCTATGACCCACACGAATTATTATGAAAATTTGAAGGTGAAAAATGTACTTAAATGCAATCATTCTATGTTGAATAAGCTATCTGATAATATTTTTTACATGTGATAGTATCATTGGCAGTTTCAATAAATTAATTGGTATGACATATGTGTGTGTGTGTCATACCATGTGTGTGTGTGTGTGTATAAATAACAGTTAAATGGACATAAACAAATGGATTTAAAACTAAACCAAAGAACTGGAACATTGCAACATGGACCTAACCACTATGGTCTTTTTATTTAGTCAGACAGAACTATTATTAAGTCCATCATCACATATGAAAAGCTTTCCTTGCTTGGCCCCCCAGTTACAGAGGTCCTAGGCTTAGTACCCTGGCCAAGTGTGGCATGAGATTTTATAAACTAGGGACAGAATCAAGCACCTCTTAACTTAACTTGCCACTTAATACTCCAGGATGACTCTATTACAAGTCATACTAACCAATTATTTGGATTTTGATAAGACTCTTGCTTCCATGCCAAGTGACCCACCCCGAATCCTCTCTAAATTCTAGTTTCTAAGAGTCTTTTATCATTGTTACTCTGAGATCATTATTCCTTAAGTTTGACTCCCTTTCCTCCCATAAGTGACCTAGTTCTTTCATACCCTGATGTGTTGAAAGAGTAAAGCTAAAGCTCAGACGAGCCAAGCTGAATACCTGATAGCACATGAATATCCTTTTCTTCAGAAACTGAATATATCACTGCCCTTTAAAAAATCCTTTAATTCATCTACTCATTTTCAGTTTATAGTCACAGGATGTAATGAAGTCTAATCTCTTAAAGTTAATAAAATGATTCCATAAGTGATTGTAAATTTGCCTAGACTTGCAGATGTCAAAGGATAAGCAAGTTATTCTCCTCCCCCCCTCCAATCTACAACCTTCTGTGATTATAGATTTTAGAGATCTTTACGGTAGTAAAAACTTCTTCAAGAAAAAGGCAAATGTGATTTTTAAAAGAATGGATTCCATGGTTTACTGAATATCTCTGTTATCAAAAAATGTTAAAGTGTGGTAGGAAATAATAAAGTGAGTTAAATGGAGTTGCTTGGGGAGAGTAGAGTCCAGGCGTGAAGTTCATTTGACTGTCAACATTATTGTTAATAATCATTTTCATAACCACTTTGTAAATGATGCTTTAGGAAACTTTGGGAGAGACTATCAAGGAAAATAAAAATTATTTAGGACTTGTTTAATTTCTGATTTCCCAATATGGATGGGCATAAAAAAATTCTTAGGAGAACTGGAACACCAGATGGAACTAGCCTCTCTAGGTTTAATAACTTGGGTTTTACTTTGGGGGAAGGCTCTGAGTACTGGTAATGGCAAATATTGCTCAGGTGTTTTTTATGCACCGTTTGAGGGTGACTTCCTTATACTGAAATGTTTTGTCGCTTAAGAATCTTGATACTTTAAGTGTGACCCCTGAGCTGGAAGCATAGAAATGACATGCACTCCACTAGAGATGCACACTCTCAAACCCTGCCCCTACCCTACTTGAACATGAATCTTTATCTTAACAAGGCCCCTCAAGTGATAAGTATGGAGTTACAACTCTGCATTAGAGGAATATAAAATGGAATCATCTGTTACCTAGTAAACACAGAATTCTATTAGAAGTATTTAAAAGGTGTACGATACATACTAACTTAAACTGGATAAAATGTAATTTATGGTTTTTAATTAGTGGGCAGAATTTAGTCACCATGGTTGTTATAAACTATGTGAAAGATTTTCTGGGTTGTCAGCAATGCAAGAAAATGATAAATGGCTTGGGGTTTAACAAAGATTAACTCCCTGAGGACAAAATGTGGTCTGAAAAGTAACTGGCATGGCTATAGCACAGCATCTAATGGTACAGTAACTCAAGTCCCAATTTCGGGCACAGGCAGATATGAGGTGGCAGTGAACAGTCAGGAAGCAGGTAAAAGTTGATCTTCTGTTATAAATGGAAGAGCCGAAAAAATGTGGGGAAATCAGGTTTAGAAAGAAAGGATCTATTGACATTAAATGTGAAGCTTTACTTTTGCTATCTCTCACATAGCATATGAATAATCCTGCACAAGGATCCAAGTACAGATTGGAGAGGGAGGAGAAGTACTGTGATATTAAGGATAAGCTCGGGATTTATCTCTAGCATGTGAAGAGACTTACTGATCCAGCAAGGCAAATGCTGATTATCACAACCAGGCTACTGGATATTGAGAGATTAAGGTTACAGTCACTCCCACTGGCCAAGTCCAGTATATGCATGTATTTCATTTACCATCACTGAGATCTACTTATTTAAAGCAGATCATGAAACAGTCAATCCTATTTCTTTATTATGATTATGCTGCTGTGCCTGATCCCTTTGGACATTTATGTTTGCAGCTCTCAGAATTGTCAAGATTATGGAAATTCTAGACTTTGGTTTCTTCCAAATACTTTACTCATAGAACTGTACTTTACAAGTTTGGGAAGGTTTTAACATGGGATTTAAGTTGCTGTTCTGGACAGCATTAAAAATCAAAATGTCTGAAAATATTTACATTCCAATAAATTTGGAAACACAACGAAAAGAAGTCTTGGTGGATACAATATGGCCAGTGTTTCAGATGGTACTGTTGAAGTACCATCAATAAGTTCTCCCTTTTAAAAATAACTATCATCACTTTTACTTAATATTAACTGAATAGGCATCTTTTTTCAGGTTTACCACTAAATCATTCTGTTCATTCCCAGAAATAGAACATTAATAGTGAAGGTTTGGTTAACTTGGACATTGATTTTTTTTAGATGTATTTGAAAATTTGTTATGGATGTTGTGTTTGGCTAACTTACATCATAACGATTTTTATTGTACTAGCTTGAACATCCTCCCCTAAACTGTAGGTGAATGTGCCAGCCAAATGCTCATTAACCCACTACTCTATTAACTTAGTAGGGTCTCTGTCACAGATCTAGGTTGGTTTGCTACTATAGCTCCAGAAATATTAAAGCTGCCCTTAATAGACCTGATCCAAATATCACAAGTAGTCACTCTGCTCCTCAGGGTGTAGGAAACATTAGGATGAAGACCATTAATTAAGTTACCTTCAAATAAGAAGTTTTGGAAAGGAAAGGATAACCCAACTATTGCTTTTGTCATTACCTAGAACAAGCTGTATTTCTTAAATATGCCTCATTCTGCAAAGAAAGATTTCCATAATCTTTTTCTCTATCAACCAGGATTGGTGGAGATGGTGCCTGACGCTGTTACCCTAGCAAAGATTCATCGCCATTCTGGACTGATAGGTCCATTGAAAGAAAATACAATCAAAAAGTGGTTCAGTCACCATAACCATTTAAAGGTGGATTATGAAAAGGTTTGTGCTGCTAGAGCTAATTTTACATAATGTACTTAAATAAAAATATGGTCTGGTTTATTAAATATTCTTAGGTACTATGAGAAAGTACACCTGAAGTTTTAATTCACTTAGCCATCAGCCTAATACTAATAACTCAGTTTAAATAAGTGGTTACAAATTCCTGAAAATTTGATTTTCTTTCTGGATGAATTCTGGACTACTAATAGATTATTATCTCTTTGTTTAGCTGCCTTCATTGCAGCAATCTCACCTGCGATGATGCTCCTTAAAGCTAGTTCCTACAAGTTACCCCAACTGTTTATTTACAATCTCCAATTTGTATAAATATTTTTCTTCCTTTGCAATACATTTTTTCTACCATGCTCTACTTTTTCATGCCTGCTTCTTTCAATATTTATATAATGTATACAAAGTTCATATACATATGTGTGTGTACACAGCAATTAAATAAGATTATCTTAAAATCACCTTTTTAGCTATTCTGCAAATTATAATTTGAGTCATTATCTGAGGTATTTCCACATACATCTGTTCTTCACAACCACCACATGAAAGACATACATTATCATCTTTATTTTATAAGTGAAGAAAATCTAGGACGACAAATTAAGTGAGTTTCTCAGGCACCTGAAACTCCAGTGTCCTGGCATTTAGTACAGTCACATAAATTTCCACCACAGCCAGTCAGCCAGATCATGCCAGGAGACCTATAAACAGAGCCAACCAATCAATCATAGTTACATTATGGTTATGTTTCATCAATGATGAAAAAACAAAGGAGACCATTTTGCAAGCAAGTATCTTAATAAATAAAAGACACAGCTGTCTTATTGGTGATCTGCTACAAGACAGCTCCTCCATTCACACAGCACTCACTGACCCTATATACTGTAGTAAAATACCTTTGGATGTCCAACTACAATACTATTTGTCAGGATAAATGAGAAACATTATGAGTATCTCAATATAGCTTTTTCTAGCTTCAAAAATTCAAATATTCAAAAATTGAAGTCTTAATTTTATCTGTAGCTAGGCACAGTGGGCCAAAATTACTTTTTTTATTTTGAAAAAAATCATTCAATATTATATATTTACAGGAATCCTCACTAGTAAACTATGAGAATTAGTTCCAACCAAATGAGATATTTTCCCAATTTCAGTAAGAACACGCACCTACTAAACTACAAAATCAATTGCTTTATGTTCTCGTGCAGCATGTAAGAAACATATTTATCCATAGTTTTCTCTCTACTGATACACAGAGGTTGCATTATGCAATTTTGATTTTTAATCATACTTGCTACCATTGACTGTGATGTTAATGTACTTAATATTTTTCATTTGTATGTGTGTGTTACTTTCAACTGATCAGGCCTGGAGGAACTTTTTCTATTCCTGTGCTGGCTGGTGTGTGGTAACATTCATCTTGGGAGTCTGTGACCGTCACAATGACAATATCATGCTGACAAAGTCAGGCCACATGTTTCATATTGACTTTGGAAAATTCTTGGGCCATGCACAAACATTTGGAGGGATAAAAAGGTCAGTGCACAAATAATATTTATTATGATAATTAAGGAAGCTCCTAAAACAATATATAATGTGTAATGGCATAAAAACCCAACAGCCAAGTTGCTTCCCATCTCTCAAATCCCTTAAAATAACATTAACCTGATTATATCTAATGATTGAAGGAAAGATTTTTTTCAAATGATTTTTCATAGAATAAATTGCAATTTTTCAAATTATTGCTTAACTACCTTGGCCTTCTCCCATGGGATATCAATTCTGTTCCGGTCTGAAATGCCTGATACATATTTGAATGGACAATGAGCTATGAATTCATGGTCTCTATACATCTGCTATATTGCCTATAACAGTCAACACTCCTCTAGTCCACATACCATAAAAGTAGCCAATTCTCCCTGCACTGAAATAACCTTGAATCTGTTAAAGACTATTTAGTAAACACTTACCATTGAAGCCACTAAGGCTACAATAGCAAACACTACAGACACAAAACCTGATTTCTTTTGAGTAAGCATGGCAGACATTAATGTTTATTAACATGAAAAGAAATAATTTGAGGCAACTACTTGTTAAATTTCTTGTTAGAAACTGAAACAGAGAAACAGGATAGAGAGTGAATGGGCAGGGTGACTATTTTAAAGTGGCTTCTGGAAGAGATGCGAAATATCTGTATTAAGACTGAACATCTCATTGACATCGTAAAATTGTACTTCAGAGACCAAGAACAGTAACAGTTAACAACCACAAGCATGGAAATAACCATAGCAAGTTCCAGTGACAATAAAAGGCTTGGGACCAGGAGTGAGAGGTAATGGTGAGAAGAAGCAAAGGTGAAGAGTTCAGTGAGAGCCAGGTTATGGTAAGGTACTGAGGACATAGCATGGAGGTTGGCATTTATTTTAAGTTCAGGGACAAACCACTGATAGATTTCAATGAATTCCAAAGCTCTCTCCTGCTGCCCTGTGAAGTAATGAGGCCAGATAGGAGACTGTTGCAATAATTAAGGCAAGACCTTAAAGATAATGAAGTAGAAGTTGAAAGACTTAGAATATATTTTGGAATCAGAGTCACAGGATCAATGTCCACAATGATTGGACACTGACATTGATTAAAGGTTATGGAAGGGATCCTGGCAAGCAGGAAAAGAAAACATTCAAGGGTGACTTCTCCGTCTCAACAAATTGTACCATGTACTGAAACAGAATAGGTTTAGTTTTTGTGGAAATAAGGAAGCCAGAAGTTCAAGATGAAAAATCCCTTCCTTTATAAAGATACTTCATATTAAAGTAGAAATTTAATCAGACTTTCCCAAAATCTAATTAGCCACTTTTAGCTAAAACAGTGTCTCAATAGAAGAGGTAAGAATGTCTCCTACAGATAATGTCATGATGGTAATCTGGTATTAAAATGCCAAGATGCATAATATACATAATACATAATATGCAAAGTACATAATGTAGTTTAATTCCGGAAAACAGGCATTTCCCATTTTGTAGAGGCATGCAAATGAAATTATTTCACTTTTTATTACTTTCAACACATTGACTTCTACAATCAATAATCTCAGGAGAGTATGCTATACAGTTATCCTTTCTTAAGTATCCCCAGAGGATGGTCTGTTTGCCAAGAACTGTGAGAAGAATAAAAGTAAATATAAAAAGTATACATTTACCACATCAATGAGGTTACTCTTTCTTTAGAATGCTTGGGAATGCAGACCCAAAAGTAACTACTCTGAAATGTACTAAGTAGAGAGATGTATGCACCATTAAAACATCTAAAGTAGAGATAACTAGTATATGGAGAACAGATGCTAATTAACTACAAATATTAATTTATTCACATAACACTTTTTCCTTTAATCCACTGTTTCCTAAAAATTTAAGGATTAGATTACAATTTTATATCTTTATTATTTCGCTGTATTGTCCATCAGGAATTTAGGTTAACCCTAATTCATTTATTCAGCCAGCAAATGTATTAACCATAGGAATGGTTAAAAATGAACAAAAACATCACAGTTTTACAGAAAAGTTCCAGCTGGGGAAGCACAGAAAGTAAAAGACAAGTTACTAAAGACAAGTTTAACAGAGATATATACCGGGATATATAGAAAAGCTAGAACCTAATTTGTTTGTTGATGTTACAGTAGCTACTGCTACTTCTATAGCTCAACAATTTAAAATGGTTCCTATGTAAACATAAAAGTAAATTAAAATGTGTTCCACATGGCACCTCACTGTCCTTGTTTGTTGAGTTAATCTTTCAGTAAGTCATTGCCATTCATAAGACCTCAGTAATTCAGTAATTATTCATTGGGTAAATGACAAAAAAAATGACAGCCAAGCTCCACTGTCTTCCTTTGAGATGACAGGTTACTGACCATGGCTGAGAAGGGCAATTGAAATGTTATGATGCATTTGAGTAGTAGTTTGCAAGATTGTACCATCACCAATGACTCTAGAAGGCTCATTAGTGAAAGTCTTCTTGGAATTCTTTATCGATACTGATACTCCTGTCCTGAATGTGTTTATGGTTAAGTTGACCTATACCTACTCAATATTACTCACTGTGTTTATTTTTTTTAAGATTTTTATTTATTTATGCACACAAGAACTTGGGTACAGGCCAGAGATGCAGGGTGATGGTGAGAGAATTCATTAGAGACAGAGAGGGGAACAGAACAGGCAAATTGACTGGAATATACTGCTGAGGGGACAGCAGGTGAGACAGGAGAGGTCCGCCACACTACCTGAGTCACCTCCCTGACTGGGGATGGAACTCATGCTGCTCTGGCTGAAGAGAGCTTCACAGCATGAGCCTTAATCCATTGTGGCAGCAGGGAGGATTTTCACTGTGTCTTTTAAATTGTAGGTAACATCTAAAAATTTTCCTCCAAACTGCTTTCAATTGTGTCTGAAGTTCATTGAATGTTTTTCCTAAGGCAGCTTATTTCTTGTATCCCACGTTCATTCTTGTTCTAATTGGCCGCTAGGTAGACAAAGGGGTTTTTATAAATAGGGTGTCTATATCCCCCTAGGATAAATTGACATTCTTATTTGTTCTACACTTATTAAATTATAGATCTGGATTTAGAGAAAAACCTACTCCATCCAGCTCCTATGCCATACTAGGTCTAAAAAAAAAAAAAAACAGTACAAAGCAAAGTATGTAGCTCATGACCTAGGACTATTTTAATCTTGCCAATCCACATAATGCTCCAGTAATAGCCAGGGGTCATACTTAACATAAATGCTGCACTCACTGGGAGTATAGAGCACGTGGATTCCAGACACATGTGTTTCTTCTCTTCTCTACTCCTTGCATAAATTTGTAATGCTTTCTAAAATATGACTAACTTGTATTAACTAATTTCACTTCAACATTGAATCATTTATTTCACCGCTCTCTACCTTGCTTAAAGAGAAGTTTCCAGTTGTGGATGGGGTATAAGTTGACAAAGAGAAATATCACACACACACACATTCCTACTGCTGTAACTCTGTAAGTGCAGATTTAGCTCTTAGGCATGGATCTAGAACTTAATAAATGGAAATTAGCACACCTACAGAGCAGAATTAAATGTCAGTATCTCTCAGGATAGATTTTCACTTGATTGTTGGTATCCACAAGAGAAAGCAGCAAAGAGGTGGCATTTTCCTTTCAAGTAGGATCTTTAGAAAGAAACTTATTCTGTGCTGGACTTTTATAGTCATGCTTACAGAACATGTAGTACTAGCCATCTGTACAATTGTGTTTAGGAAGTTATAATATAATTATTTAATCACAGATTGTGATTTATGTGAAAAATATATTTTTGGTGATTGGAATGAAATTTATTTTTCATACATATTGGATTTTCTGAGTCACAGTTCAAAACTTGGAATTTCCTAAGTGATGAAAATGATCAAGGGTTTTCTGTTGTTCAATGAGGCAACTTTTAGATCTACCTAAGGAAAACCAACTATGATATCAGACAGTTGAAACTGTCAGTCCCAACTCTCACCAAGGTGGGGAGAGGGTCCCTAGAGATTGATATCAACCATCAATGACCAATGATTTAATCAAAATACCTATATAGGAAAGCCCTTTAAAGAGCCAAAGGATGGCGATCAGAATTTCATGTTGAAATTGAGTGCAGGAACCAATATAGAAGTGTTTTCAATCACTGGTTTCTCCTAATTTGAATTAATGCTTGTGAGCCTAGCCACATCTCATTCAGAATGCCTGTGTGGCTGTTCCTGGACCATTCCTCTGAACTCAATTTTCCAGAAATCTGGACAGTCTAATGTTGATGCTCAGATGAAATCTGAAGTTCCTGCATGCACTCAACTTTGAAGGGTGGGGGGTAAGGTCACATCTCAATTACAGATACAAAGAATATCACATCTGTACATAAAAAAAAATACTTCTTACTGGTTTTAATTATGAGATTAAGTAAAGAGGAATTATACTAGTAAATCAAATCATAGGATAATTGAACCCCATTATTTCTTAATGATTCCCCAGAAATTTGGCTAATCCCTATGATAGAAATAATGAGTCTCACCAACTTTCTCAAACCAACTGATTTCTCTTTTGACGTGTTGCTTAATTATTTTCTTCACTTTTTAATTTTTTTCCTCACAAAGATTCAAGTTAAAGTAGACTAAAAGCAGTCACAATTTTTCACTCAAAGTTTCCCCCTAACAATTATTTCCTGAAAGTAATTTTTTCATTACATAAAAGATATTATTGTAATAAACTCTGAATTTCACTCAATAATTTCTTGTGGTGATTTTCTCTTATGGAGTAGGATAAATTAAGGAAGGCCTTTATTGGCGATGTTTATTGCTCTACTAAATCATTGGCTCACACTATATTTTTTTATGCTAATGCTACATTTCTGTAGTGTACATGATATTTTTTCACTTTGGAAATGCTAGACTTGCAGCTTTCTTTCTAAATAATTTTAGAGGTAATATGAGTAGTAATTAAAATCAGATTCCCTAGACATAGACTATGTGTGTGTG